TGATGATGACCATGGAGTGGAGTAGGTGGTGAAATTATAGAGTTGCGATCACTTGATTAAGCTGATTAAGAACACGCAGCAGCCGTTTCATTTTATGAAAAGTGGTTGATTCCCTTAAATTTTCTGGCGATGGTTGCCTCAGAATTATGCAACGCCACTTTTAACTGTTTTCCCGCAGTGCATTTAAGACTCTCTTTGAGGACTAAGCCATTCATTATTCAATAGCTTATTAATAAATTGTTTCAACAGCTCCACTCTTTCGTTCTATATCAGTTTATGTGCACTTGTAGTGTTCGCTATATCAGCACACAACGAGGCGTTTGTTCATGAGAAAATCTGAACACTGTCCAGCCGCTTTCCGAAAAGGAACCGTGAGAAGCTTAAACAGCTCAATACTGCAACATTTGACCGATGGTGGACTAACGATGACTCAGAGAAATAATTTACAAGTTTCTTCACTGCAATTTAGAACCACACCAGAGCATTACGTAAAAAAATCCTGACCACTGCGGAAACCATAGCAATTAGGATTATGAAGCCGGAGTTGTGCGAGCAACGTGATCTGATCCAGCACTGCTATTCCCATGGCCATACAAATTATTGCCCATATATCTATGTGACACACTTGTGTTCTCTCACCCCACTATTCCTTTTCTGTCTTTTTTCTCACACTTCACACCGCTTCTATTCATTTTTGAATAATAACTTTCATATCCTATCCAGTTCACACATTTTCATCCGGCTTTTCTCTATCCAGTTATCATGTTCCCAGAGCTTGCTGTCAACCAAACATATTGCACACAGGCATTCATTAACCATCATCCAATGCCTCGCATTACTGAATAATCGAGCTATATATGTATATGCCTGAAACTTGATAACTTCGTAATTGCATTTGCATGCGAAACAAACCCGTCTTACGTTTTCCTGCTAAAAATATTTTTAGTTTTATGTTACCTTCTGTAAGTTATCATTGCTAATCAAACCGGAGCTCGATAGATTTCAGACATTTCTAATCTTTTCGGCATTGAAAACGAACCCACATTACACACAAAGTGTTTCCATAACAGATAATTTTCATCTTTTCCAGCCGTTCCTTTTTCACTTTCCGCATACAGTACGCATCAACTGATTAAAATAATCGATAAATCGGTTGGCTAATCCCAGTATCTGTTTGAAATCTTACTTGGATGATTGTTTAAGTACACGTAGGTCAGCAGAATCTGATTCAGATTTAGTTTGAATGTAAGGATGAAAACTGAGGGAAACATTGATTTCTTATTTTAGATTATAGAATATATGTAATCAAATTCATTATCTTTGCTTCTAGATAAAGACGATTTCAAGCGATAGGAAAGTGAATAACGGTCTGATCAGTTGCCTGGCTGCCGAAGAGACGCACTAAGCTTGCTTTCTGCCTGTGAGGTCCCGGGTTAGATTCTCAGATGGTTCAATAAATTCATAATACTGACGAGATCTAGTCAAGTAGAAACAGTTGTAAAGTGCTTCCTAGCTTTCAGCTAACGTTTCATTTACCATTTACACAGCGAAAATCGCCATATGAAAAAGCGTCATTTACAAATAGGGAAATCTTTAAAGTCTCGAACAGACAACAGTGCGGTCAAATAACGTTTGGTTACTGAAATTTCCAGCATCCGATTGAGAACAAACATCCTTCATTGATAATAAGTGCAATAACTGTGCTTTTACCCAATACAGTAACAACCATTCATTAATACAACATTGCGTTATATGAACAGTATCAACTTTGGTTATACTGAATCATGATTTAAATGTGTTATTCTTGCAGAAGATTTTATCGTGTACATCATTCTGTACAACTATTTGTACCAGAGGGTTTTTTGGACAACAGCTGCGAATTACGTTACACGGTGTATATATATATATATATATATATATATATATATATATATGAGAGGGTTCTTCTATCTTATATTTGAGCACTATAATCAAGGAGGTACCATATTAATGTGAAAGTGAAAGGAGAGTCAAACAAAGTTGTGACAAATATTCGTTTATGACTCGCATTGCATCTGTTCCAAATAACAGCAACATATTGCACTGTTTGACTAACAGTCTATATTTAACTCCTGATAAAAGTGCAGTGTGACCCGCAAAGACTGCTTTTTATTTAACCGAACGTGAACACAGCCAGATAGCATCACTTTTAGTAACGTTTCGTCAAAATCAACGATGAAGTCATGTGGTATTCTGTA